CCCCAAAACCCCAAAACCCCAAAAGTGTATATAACTTAATAGTTTCAGAAGTTAAAGTATAATTCTGAAATTCAAACACAAAATCAGCAATAATATTTAAAATAGATACCAATAATGTTTATTCGAGTTTTTTAGACGTAAAATGATAATTAAATTCAATCAATTAAGTATTAATTTGTAAATCTTAGTTTCATTGTTTTCATCGTTTCCAATCACATATCCTTCATTCCCCTAAACATTTTCTACTAAGTCTAATTTCTATAGCAATTTTACATTTTCAAGGCCTACTACATTTCCCTTATACCCAACGTTATTCAAGTCTACAATATTCATCTTCTAGGTGCCACTCTAGAACATAACCATAGGAAACTGATTTAGATCGAAGTTTGGTAGTAAGAAGATGGAACTGGTAACGCTTGGCGCGAAATTGTATGTTTATAGAGTTTTTGTGCTTTCTATGTCAACTTGAACCAAATTCTAACTATACAAAGCAATCATGATATTTGGACTGATTACTTTGTATTCTATCATTTAATCTGCTTTGCCTGAGTACAAGGCACTTGATTTGGATTTCTTAAAATCCTAGAGATCTAGTTTTATTTTAATGACCGATGCCCCTTTGCACACTGCGAATAGCAAATCATTGAAATACTCTGGATAGTACTTTAGTTGACTAACACTGGCCTCTTTCCTTGAATTCATGGAGATATTTAATCTTTAAAACTCATACTGAGACCCAGTCCATTTCCAATGCGAAATTTTGCCATAGTTGTCGTGGGCTAATATTAGATCATTGTTTTCAAACCCCATCGCTCCATTAATCGTCTCTTTATAGTCAAATTTTTACATAGCTTCATTAGTTTGAATATTGTAGACCATGTCATTAAAGATAAGCCTATTCTGGTGCAGGATCATATACTAGACATCACTCTACACTGAAGAAATAGTCTCGCTATGTATGCTATTATATCACTACTAAGCTAACTCAGATACCTATCATATTTCCCTATGTTAGATTAGACTTCTAAGGCTGAGAGAACAAACTCGATATTTATCTTGATTTTTTGAGTTTTGAAATTATTTATGTTGTCCAAATTAAGTTGTATATAACTGATTTACTATTTTAGATTTTCAATATTAGCTATCTACTGCTGCTAGTACTCTTATATTTCCAATTGCAACCTAGCTTGATCAATCTTTGTATAAAAGTCCTCTTGCTTCTGCTAGCTTTTAGCAAGTCTCTGAATTTTTTACTCCAAACCATTAACAATATTTTAAGTGGCTCTCTCAGTATCTTTGATGAATGTCTTGATTTTAGGCTGTATCTTTTCCAGAGTAGCAGCTAGGACATTATTATCCTGAATTATTTTAGAAGCTGCTTCCAATAAAGATAACTTTGGCTATAATTTAGAGTCAATTTGCATGGCTCCTGAAGACAAAGTAAAGTCCTACTTAATGACACTAGCATTGCTAAACTTGTTCTTAACCTAGGTAAGCGCTTACAGTTACTGCATTTAATTTGTTATATTTAGTATAGGCTGCTTTTACTATGGCTAAGCTTTGGGCTAAGCTATTTTAGGTTCTTTATCTTCTTTTTTTATTTTTGGTTCTTTAATCTTGGCTGCTGCAATTTTCTTCTAGTTTAATTTGAGAGCTTAAGGCAAGGTAAATGAGGGAGTTGATATTGGTTTTAATTCATTCAATTTGTTACTTTGGTCAAAGGTCTGTGATACTGTTTCCTCATTTTTAATTTAGATTTGATTATATTCCTACTGCTGCTAAAACTATTGTTATCTCAGTTGATTGTTATACTATAAATAATTGTGCTCTAGATCTTCTGTCATTTTGGACCAGAGATCAAGTTTAGAATCTATACCGTTGAAATCACCAGCCACTGAAAACATTGTTTAACTATATGATATTTATTTCATAATCTATAGCTAAAATCTTTTGAAGTAGAGAATTCCTTAATCATTTAAATATTTAAACCCCAAAAATTTAATAAAAGAATTTTTTCCTCTCGGGGTTTTGGGGTTTTGGGGTTTTGGGG